TTGGAGGTTGTTTGAGATTGCCAGATGCTACGACATGGTTAACTAGAATTTTAAAAGATAGGAGAATTAATTATAAAAGTGAAAATGGAATGTTAAAAAGTTAAAGCAAAGATAAAATAAACCTGCACACTTAGTGAATTTGACAGTGAAGAAATTAAAGTGATAGATAATTTCCTGGGCTCCAGAATAAAGATGGAAAATGTGTTGGCAAAGTAAAAAATTTAATTGTAGGGAGAAGATAGCAATAAATTTATATAATATCATGAAGGAGAAGATTATTTTGATGACAACAATGATCAGAATAATAAAAACAAAAGTCTTTCCAATGATAAGGTATGGCTATGGAAGCTAAACCTTAAAACAGAAAGAGAGAAAGAAGATAGCTGCTTTCAGATAATGGATTTTTGAATTGCTACTTTTTTTTAGAAGTAATTTTTATTATAAGCAAATTTTACATAGGTTTAAAAAACTCCAGAAACATAAAAGATAAGGTAGGGAAAAATGACAATACAAAAGAGTAAAATAAAAAGTGAAAGATAACAAAAAGAAAGAAAAAGAAAAAGAACGTTATCTAAAGAAACAACTTCTGATCTTTGCAGCAGTTACAAACATAGTAATTACCATCTCCACCCACCCAAATTATATATCATTGTTCCCTTCTTCCTAAAAACAAATCTTTTTAATCTATAAATCCTGAAATTACCAGTTAATTTTTATCCATTTTCAGCAAAAAGTCCATAAAGGGTTTCCAGTCTTTTATAAAAGCAATTGTAGTTCCCTCCTTAATCAGGCAAGTCAATTTAGTCATTTCTGTAAACTCAGCCATCTTCACGATCCACTCCTCCATTATGGATATTTCTGTAGTTTTCCATCGCCGTGCATATAATAGCCTCGCTGCAGTTACCATATATAAAACCAATCACCCATGAGCCTTTTCTAGTTGACTGTCCGTAAGTTCTAATAAGAAAAGTTCCAGTTTCATCTGAATGTTAATTTTTAAAACTCTCTGCATCACCGTATGTCTTTGTATTCAGTATTGTTTAACTTTTTCAGAAGTCCACCATGCATGATAAAATGTCCCTTCATGTTTTTCACATTTCCAACAGTGATTAGAAATGCCTTTACACATCTTAGACAATTTCTCTGGTGTCATATACCAACAGCACATCATTTTTTAAAAAGTTCTCTTTTAAATTGTAAGACAATGTGAATTTCAAACCTTTTAACCATATTCTCTCCCATTGATCCATTTGAGTATTATAACCCAAGTTCTTGGCCCATTTTACCATACATTTTTTAATTTACTCTTTTTCCATTTCAAACCTCAGCAAAAGTTTATACATTTTAGCAATCATATGTTCATCATTTGTACGTAATTCATTTTCAGTTTTGGTTTTATCATATTCTACTCCTGGTACTTTATATTTAGTTTTTATTAAATCTTCCTCTTAATTGTGCATATGAAAACCATTGAAAATTACATCCCTCTGCAGTCAGTTGTTCTCTTGATTTAATCTTAAGCTCCCCATTTTTCTGTACTAGCAAATCTTTATATGTTAACCATTTGTCTTTGCCTACTGTTTCTTTTCTGTAAAACGCTTCTTGAGCTGAAGCCAATAGAAGTATTTCTGAGCATAGCCTGGGTTTGTATCTATTCCATATTTGTAATATGGCATTCCTGATGTAATGAGTTTTAAAATCTACATTTACTTTAACTTTATCATACCATAAATAACCTTGCCACCCAAACCTTGGTAAAAACTATTTTTAAATTGTTACTAAGAATACCATGAATTGCAAGAAGACCCAGTTAATCCTGGGCCACATAAAGTTTTGACTGCTTCTGTAAGATGATGGTCAGGAAGAGAAACATGCATAAATTGGGCATGTGATGCAAATGGATGATAAAATTAAAAAAAAGATTGAGGAAAAAATAATGTATAAAATGAATAGATTGGATCAAAGAATTATTGTTATATCCTCAGAAGACTGATGAGTTATTACTACAGACAGATCAAGATGGCAGGCAAACATTCATACAGTCACCAAGAGTCAAACTCAATTTGATGATAACTAATTAACAAAGATATTCAATATGAGACCAGTTGAAACATTGTTGATAATGTTTAAAAATTGTTCACAATCTTTTAAGGATACTGTCTTAGGTAGTCTCAAATTTCATTTATCCATTTATAATCTATTGTAATGCCATTACTGAGACAGCAGTAGAAGCAATGTAATTACTGATCATTTTTATTAAAAAATAATTTGTATAGTTTAGACTTCAATAGCTATTTTAAAATGAGTATAGGTGTCATGCTCTGCTTTGCAACTTAATGTTGCAATAATTTTCTCTATCATTTGTTAAGCAAATGGGAACCTAATAGAAAGCAATGAGCTGAGCACTATACTAGTCCTCATTAATCTGCAAAACAACAAAGAAAAATCACAGATAACAAACATTATTTCATGTCAGTTTTACGGAATATCTTTACTGAATAAACCACAATTTGGTAGGTTCATATAATACACTATTTCATTAAGCTTGGTTTACAAACTGTAATGACTGGATTTGCACAAGACAGAATTGCCCATTGTTCTATGATTTATTGAACAAACCACAATTATATGGGTTTACACCCTAGCCATAGATCATGATTTAGAACAAATTGTGAATCCATGGAATTTGGTGGAGTATGTGGAAACTTGTCATTTCTGCTTTAGACTATAATTATCAATTTGAGAAGAACTGAAAACATTTTAAAAATAAAAATTTGAGAAAAAAAGAAGTCATATATTGCAGGGTGGAAAGGAAAGGTATCATCCACAAGCTGAATATTTGGCTATGACAGCTAGGGATTGATTCTGGAAAATATAAGGTTTCAGGAGAATTTGTAACTGGCTGGATCGCTTGTGATTCTTGCCAATTCCCTGTCACTTATGAACCTCATGGCCACATAAAATGCAGGACTGCGGTTGCAAGAGATTTATACTTGTCATTGGTCAACATGTCTGAACATTGTAAAAATAGCCCTACAAGCTGGCTGCTGGTGTATTTGATACCTGACTCTCTCAGTTTTCCAATGTTCATGTATTTGGAATATTTAAAATATGAGATTCCTGATTCAGAAGCAGCACAATGGCACCGCCCAGGAGCTTGTGACCCAAAGAGAAAAACATTTGATGTTGATTTATGGTTCTCCTTTCTGAAGGAGTGGTTCCAGGAAGTGATGGTGGGAGAGGAGAGATCTACCCTGAGAGTTTTACTCTCTACTTCTTTTTAACATCTACATAAAGCCACTGGGGGAAATTTGTCAGAACAGGATTCAATGAAATCCATATGCTAATGATCCCAGTTCTATATCTCATTCCCAGGCTGAACAGGAGATGAGGTGGAAGTGGTGACCCAATTCCTGGAGCTATCAGGAACTGGATGGGGAGGAACAGACTGTGACTGAATCACTCCAAGACAGAGTGGTGTTGGGTTTCTGGGCCTACCAATTCTAGGGAAATTCCATCTCTGACTCTGTAATCCCTGCTGAGAGATGATCTACAGTCTGGGAGTTCTCCTAGACTTATACTCCTATTTGAAGAGCAGGTGGCAGCTGTGGCTAGGTTAAATCTTGTGTGCCAGTTGTGACCGTTCCTGGACTGGGAAACCCTGCTTATAGCCACTCATGCCCAAGTCACTTCCCATTTGGACTACCTAAACATACTATACATGGGACTGCCCTTGAAGAATATTTGTAAGGTACAGCCAGTGCAGAATGTGGCAACCTGGCCAGTGATGGGTGTGTCCTGATCTATTTGGCTGACCTCACTTCTTTGGGAGATCCATGAATTGCTTCTGGATACAATTCAAGGTGCAACCTGGTTTTCACCTTAAGGATGTGACTATCTGAGAAGCTGCCTTCTCCTCTATTCATTAGCCCATCCAACCTGATCAGAAGACCAACTCTCTCAAGGTCCCAATCCTACAGAACAGTTCCAAAGTGGGTGTTTTCAGTAGCTGCCCCTATTCTTTGGAACTCTTCTGGCAGAGATTTGGTCAGCTTCAGCCCTCTTAGGCTTTAGGAAAATTGTAAAGATCCATCTGTTCCATCTTGCATAGGAGGAGGGTGAAGGGGGCTTCCAGGCACATGGTATTTGTATTTTTTGGCTTTTAACTTTCATTTTTTAATATCTGGGTTTTGGAGGACCTATATTTAGATTTATAGAGCTTTCAACATATATGCAAAATAAACAAACAATAATACAAGGAGATAATTTAGATAGCTAATAATGTATTACTTTTCTCCATCAATAAGTTTGCTAACTTGTTTTTATTTGGTTCAAGACTGCATAGTTTTGTACTAATGGCAACAAATGTCCAGTGTATCCAGAAGTTTGCTCTCAACCTTCAATCCAATGCTATTTAAAAGATGTTTAAGTATGGTTCCTTCTGTGAAAAAAAAGTGCCCCTAGGCTACAAAACTCTCCATCTCTGCTCAAAAATAATAAACCAGGCATTGTTTGCATACGTGTGGCAACTACTATACATCCTTACTATATATAATGTGTTGTATAGGATTTAAAATCAGTTTGCAAATGAATGTTTGTTTCTTTATAAAACTATGGATGTTTCCAGACAAGATGCAACTTCCCTCCCTTTTCCATAGAATTTTATGAGGAAACAGGTGATCTCTTTTCATCATTCTATTATCCCACACCATCTGTTATTTGCCGCTAGATATCTTTATTATTACATTTATATCCCATTATTCTAAAATCTCAAGGCACAAAGAGAAATTTAGAGATATTGTTAGAAGCGATCGTGTGAACATTCATTGTATACCATCTTCTTAGTGATCTACAGTGAGGTCACTAAGTTCAGCACATTTCAAATAGATCTTAAAGAACAGTCACACTGGATTTTAATGTCAATTTTTAAATAAATCACAAACAAGTGAGAGAACACATTTTATATTAAAGAAAACTACATTTATTGTAAACAAGTATAAAGTACATAAGAAATACTGTGCAAAATCTTAAGTAGTCACAAAATAGATATTACAACACTCTTTATAATTTTATATTTATTCAGTATAGTAAGACAATTGAAAAAATGATGGCAAAATCATTGTGTACACATCTAGGATTGATGACTTGACTTTCTTTGCTTCATAAGCAATCCATCATTTTCCAATTTATTTCAGTTTAAATTATATCTATAACATATAAAGGTCAATCATACTTCTATTGTAATCTATTTTACAGAAATTTCAGAAAGTAACATAGCATACTGCTTTTGTTCTTCCTTGAGGAATAAAGCTTTGTAACTCTTAAATTATACTTTAAACAAAGTGCACTGTATCAAGGTTTTGAACGTTTCAGTGATATAGAAATTTAAATGTATAAAAGAAACAAGCAACTTAAATGCACAAATAACCAAAAAACGCTGAAGTACAGCTAATAGCACTAATTGTGATGTTTTCAAAAGAAATACTAAAAAGATTATTTGATTTGCACCTTAGAATAATCCACCATATGATACCTCTTTCTCAGTGATATGCTTAAGTTATATATAATTGCTAAATTAGCTATACTTTATATACCAGGAAATGGAGATACATACACTTGATCTCAGGGAGTTGATAACCAAATTTCCATTATCATTCACAACGGAGAACAAAGCAAGTATTTCTACTTAAAAGTTTCAGCACTCTAATATTACTGAAGTTTACCCCTGATTCTGTACCATAAACTGAGATTCTGTATTTTGTCTGCAACAGCGTTGAAAACATTCCCACATCCTAATGTCTGCAGCTCTCTTTCGCTTATACCCAGCTACAGAATGCACAGGAATAGCTCTTTCCAGAACTGGTGCTGACATTTCCATTTCTCCTTCCTCAAAGCACAAAAATGCCGGCTATCCTATATGTTACGCACCCAGGAATACAGGTAGCCACTGCCTCTGTTTCAATGCCATGCCAATCTGATAGTGTAGAACCACAGATTTATTCTGCAAGCTTTTTTCACATTACCATTGGCACCCAGTTATACATTGAAAAAATAATTTAAACAGCCTCTTTAGACTGAATTATTTCATTGTGCAGCCACAGAAGTATGTGGTGCAACAATATCATTTAGCTTGCTCACTTCCATCTGCCAGTTTGGTAATTTTTTGGCTGACAAGTGGCGACGTGCATGTTTTGTTAAATGGTCACTCCTCATGAATCGTCGATTACACATTGGGCAGGCAAATTTTTTCTCTCCTGTATGTGTTCTGCGATGGCGAGATAGTTCATCAGAACGTGCAAATCTCCTCTCGCAGCCTTTCCAACTGCAGCTGAATGGCTTTTCTCCTAAAATACAAAATGTCAAGAATTAATGGTATAAGTGGGGTTTTTTTTAATTAACAGCAGAGGATAGACCTTTAACAGAGGATAGATTCTTCCTGTATCCATTTATAAACAAAGAATAGAAAAAAAAACTTAGGAAAGTAATAATGGCAGTTGTACCATAATCTAGTCAAAATCTTACATAGTCTTATAGTTCCATATAATCAGAATACAAATTATAATTTCTGTCTCCAAGTCACATCTGCACATCTTCTTGTCATATTAAATCACACTTTAATAACAACCTGTGAAGGTTGATATTAGCTGTTCTATCTTGAGCAGAAGTAAAGAATTTAACTTTCAAATTAAACTGTGAAGCTGACCTGCTCCTTCTTTTCAAGTGATTCTTTCCTTCCTTATTTGTTAGCACTGCTTCACACAAAAAAGCATAGACCAAAACATTTGGAGAGAGTTGCATAGGTGACTAACTGCATAAAATCTTTTTTATTATGCAAGAGATTTATAAAAACAGAGATCAAAAGATGTTGGATTATACTACTAGTGAATGACTCTTATATTGGTTAAATAATTCGGGTGGGGAAGGAACACTGGATTTGCTGTTACATTTTTTCACTGTTCCTAGCCCATTTGAGCAAAGGGGAAATCTCCCCATCATGTGAATGTCACTAAAAATTTAATTTAGAATTTTTCACAGTAGACAATTCCATAATAACTTACCTGTATGTGTTCTAACATGCGCCTTTAAATGGGAGCTTTTGAAATATGTTTTTCCACATCCTGGGTAGTTACAGACATGACTTCTTGTTCTGAGAGAGTCAACAGATGGAGTGATCTTTGTTGCAGGAGGGGCCAAACCAGGAGCAGGAGCAATAGGTGACAGTCTGGTGCCGTGAGGACTGATCACCGGAGCCTTGGTATTCTGAACAACAGTCTGTGGCACTACAAACATAACTGCTGCTTTGGGAACTTGAGCTCCCATGAGGACCATCGGTTGGCAAAGGTTGGATGGCAACTGACCACAAGGAGTGTTGGATACTATTGCTGTCACAACAGAGTTATTAGCAGACAATGGAACCATCTGGCAAATAAATGGCATAGAAGAGACTCCTCCTACTTGCACAGAAGGTGGAGGGGTTACCTGTGAAGACCGAGGGACAGATGGAGAGGTACCAAGTACAGTCTGTTGAAAAGGCACTGGGCTGATGGCCTGTAATGGACTTTTGGGTTCTTGCATGTCTGACAGCTTATCTTCAGAAAATGCAGTATTCAGTAAGATGCTTTTACAAGATAAACGTTGTTTTTCTTCTGTATTGTCTTCTGAATGTGCTTTTGTACTGCCATTCTGATTTGCTTCCTTCATGTTATCATCATGATACTTCCTAACATAGTCTGTTCTTGCTGGACAGGTTACGCTATTGCAAAGCTGAGCATCTGCTGTATGGCGAATGACGCTTGTTGCCTGAGCTCTCAGTATTCTCGGCACTGGAACATTTTGGGCCTCTTTAGGAGATGCTGTAAAGACTCGCTCAGAAATGTCTGGACATGGCTTGTTCTGTACACAAGATGGTGCTGGTGTTGCTGGATGGACTGACTGAGACATTTCAAGGTCAGAAGGGCTGTAGGGCGGAGTTAAACACTGAACAAAACAAAGCAAAGAGTAGTGAGCTATTTATGAGGATTTGAATGTTTGCAGATTTCAGCTTTTATCCTATAGATGCTTATTTTAGAATAATAGCCAATAAATTAAGCAGGACACAGCACTGAGCTGTAAATTAGTACTTTATAACAGAATAGTACTTACAAAAGCTGGTATTGTACGAAAATCAGCAGGAGGTAGCAGGTTGTCTTCAAAGTCCTCAGACGTATCTGAAGCTGGTGTCATTGGTCTCCGTTCAGCATACTTCTTAAAGTCTGATTTCCAGCTGCAGCTCATTGACATCAGAGCTTCCACTGCTTCAAAATCACTCTTTTCATTGGCATGATTCCAAAAACACCTCCTGAGGCACTGCTTTTCAGTAATCATCTCCATGCCCTCTTCCTAAGGGGGGAAAATGGAACATTCTTCAGTTATTCAAGTAACACACAGGTGTGGGTGTTGATCGTCTAAGCTGATTAAAAATGCAAAATCTGCCAAAAAGCCACAAAAATGAATTATATAAAGAACAACAGTAAGTTCCAATTTTCTTTTTTATCCTTACACAAGATTTATTTTTAGGATGTATAAACACAGTAATCACAATGTAACAATTATCTCTCTACTTTCTTTAAAATCAACACTATCAGGAAGCCAAATAAATCCCTTTGATTGCAAAATATTTAGAAGCTCAATTAACAAGGCAGTTAAGCTAAAATTCTTAAAGTTCAACCAAGGTAGGCCACTGTTTAAAAATCCTGTTTAAACACATCAGCGTTGGCCTTATAAGTCTTGTTCTATTTTTATAACCTTTGTCAGAAAGGGTGTAATATTTCTGTTCAGCTATGATGTAAACATCAAAATACGAGTGCTTCACCATCTTACTAGAGATGCTTCAGTAAGACTCAATTCATAGATGAGAAAAATTGAACCCAGAAACATAAACTAAACATATGGGCTGGGTTTGCGTAACATCCTGCTGGGCAAAATGCCATGGCCAAAATGGAATATGGCTAGTTTAGCTGAATCTTAGCTTATTATGGAAATCCTGCTCAGCAGAACCAACAAAGTGGATGTGCTCTGGGTCCCCTCTATTATGTCACTCAGGAGTCATGCTTTCCTCTCGCTTGCCCTGTGGAACAGCATCCTCCTGACGTCTTGGTTGTTCCCTTGGGCCGGGATGCTAAGTGAGCCCACTGGTTGATTTGTTTGGTTATGGCTTATGGTTTTGCTACTGAGTGTGAATGTGGAAGGTTTTATCTGTTTTCAGTTGTTTAACAAATTCAGTTCAGTTGTGATTTAGTCTTAATCTTCTGTATGCCACCTAGAGGCACTGCTGTCAGATGAGCAGCCATATAAATTGCTTAAATAAATACAAATAAATTGGAGGTGCAAAAATCCAAAGAACCAGCAGAGGACGCAACATGATAGCGACATTTCTTAATTCTCTGCTACCCTCTTATGGTGATCTGAATTTTTGCAGTCTACACTGGTTAGCCCTACCGCTGCTTGTGCTGTAGTGTAATTGTGGGTTAGTCAAGCCCAGGCTTTTGCACGGGCAAGAGCAACCACAAGCATGCTGACTGGGGGATTCTGAGAGTTGAAGTCCACACGTTTTAAGGTTGCTAAGGTTGAGAAACACGGTCTTAAATGCAGGTTACTAGGATTTGATTTGCACGATTTGTTAACTGCTTTCTTTTCCAGGAACTGAAAAAGTGTGCGTAAACAAGATCGCTCCGAAAGTGGTTTTGTTTCCTGAGACCGAGTGACCCCGACGCCCCGGCTTCTGCAAAGCTGCAGCGTCTACGCGGGCGGGCGGAAAGGCTGTTCTCATGGGAATCTCCGAGAGGAACCAGATTGCCAGAAGAGGCCGCTGAGCAAGTTGGGCGCCAGGACGGGGCGGGGTAAAAACGGGGGCAGGGAGTTCCTCGCTGGCATCCGGATCTTGGAAGCGAGCCACGCTCACCTCACAGCGCCTCCGCCGTGACTCACTCCGGCCCCCGAAGAGCTCGCCCCCTCGTTCGAGAGCGGCTCCATCCTTCTCCCATTGGCTCCCCGGGTCAGCCAGCGCGGGCTCTGATTGGCCGGCCCCGCTGAGAAAGGGGGTGGAGACATGTGAACAAAGCGTGATCGGGCGCTGCTCCGCAGCCGTCGGGAAACGTGAACTGGGCTTTGCCGCGCCGCGACCTTTCACCCACTTCCGCGCGGCCTCCTCCCCGCTCTGCTGCTCCTCCCCTCCCCCCGCGCCGTTCACAGCTCGCTCCCACGCCTGGAAGCAACGCCGGGGAGGGGGCGTGCGAGCGGGCAGGCTCGCCGGGCGGGGCGGCATCCCGCCTTCCGAGAAAGGCTCCGATACCCGGGCGTGGCGCGACGGGCAGACCTTGGCCTCCG